TTTGGTCAGTTTGGCAAACAAACAAAAAGTTTGACAAACTCAAATAGTAAAAAACGAAAGACATAGGAAAGTAAATAGAATTCAGAAATGAAAGAATAGAAAAAGAAGGAAAAATAAATGAAAAAAAGAAGTACACAACATATGCATATCTCACTCACTAGAATACATCAGTATCATCATTTAGGTAATGCTAAGAACGACCGTAAAAAATACTAAAATTACGTTATGATAGCCTAAGTTGTTAAATACTATCTTAAGTATTTTGTGTAGAGTTTTTTGACAGTGACAAACTTCTATAAACTTATGTTTTAAATAAATTTGGAAAAATTAAAAATTCTCTTAGCATTTTATGTACATACATACATCTGTACATATTGTCTTTAAGGATATATTTTTGTTGAATATTCAAAAAAGTATTTCATTTTATTTTTCATTCTAACCTAACATTAAGAAAAATTTGCGTAAAGCGTTCGCCATTTGCCAAAAGGGAAACTTCATTTTTATTTCCAGCATATTTGTTTTCCTGCCTTCATTTTCCTCGCTTTCCATTTTCCTGCTCACCTTAACCTTTCTACCTGAAGAACACTTTAGGTTTGCTCATGAGTAGGCGGAGTCTCTCACTCTTCCTATGGATTTACAGCTAAATTCTATGGATGGTTCCCTAAAGAGCACCCTGTATGTTTATTACTTATGTACAAAAGTATTATTCTCTATGCATGTATGTATGTACTAATGTATGTATGTGTGAGTAGCAGCCAGCATAAAAAAATACCCCCGAAAATGCAGAGCCAAAAAGTGCGTGCGCCTCGTCATCCTCTTCTTTGCTCTCCTCGCCCCTTCTCTTTCCACCACCCCCTACCATTATCCTTTATCCTTGTGGTTGCTGCCACAAAGGACAAATGAAATTTCAGCATTGATGTGCCGTCTCGCTCACTTTCACTTGGCGCCACGACGAAAGGCAGGCACAAAAAGAGGATACGGGATACAGAAGGAAGTGGGAGGGAACACAGCAACCCCTACTTCCCTAAAACAAGTTGGAAAATAACGGAAACTTTCTGTATTATTAAGACTTTTCAACATATTTGAGGTTATGTAAGACTTTAAAAAATAATTATTAGATTATATTTTGTAAAAAATGTAAAATATAGCTTATACATTATATTTCCCTTCTTTAAAGGATGATTTTGATTTTATGTTTTAGGAATAACAGCAAATTCTGAAATAAATAAAATGGAACTTTATACATACAGAGAGAAAGAGATGGGAAAAGTACACCTTATTTAAGGTTATGCTAGTCTCATATTAGAAATAGTATATTATTTTCCATTTAATTTCCCTTTTTAGAAAGAATAATTTCAGTTTGTACTAACTCATAACAAAATCGGAAGTTAGTCTTATTAAAGGAATGATTTGAAACATAATTACTATATCCATAGAACTCACTATAATACACTTTTAAACACAGTTTTCCCATTTCATTTCCCCTTTCTGAAAGAATCATTTTCAGAAGTCTGATCATACTGAACCCTTTTGCCTACCAAAATGATTCCAATTCGATTCGAGATTCGAGGACATCCGTTCGTTAAATGGGAATATGTATGTCTATAGGGCGAATGCTGACTTCATTTCGCTTATGTAAGCCGAGCGGCATGAATCAGACCCACATTGGGGCGAAAAAGGGATCTGGACGCTTCTGCTGCCCTTCATCCGCCATCACATCAACATCATCCTTCGACAAGTGCCCGACAAAATGGAGTTTGGGTTATTTTTGGCAACGAAACGAAATTACGACACCCTCCATTGCCAGAAAAACACAACTCTCTCCTCTCAACTCTTGTCTCTTTTTATATCAACATATATATATATTTTGGGTATGTATTATGTTTACCGTTATGTACCAATTTTCAATGGTACGAGGTTGAGTTGGGTTGCCATGGCCGTTGAATTTCAAACCCTATTTTGGGTTTCAAAGTTGCTTCCGATTGGATAAATGCGGGAGTATGAGTAATTACAAATAATGCCGCTGTGTCGGAGGAGCGGAGTGGCGGGAGGTGGGCTCTGCAGATGGAGGAGTACGGGTGGGTGTCGAACACATCTGCCCAGAAAACACCCCCAGGACTTTTAAGGCGAACGAAAACGAAAAACACAAGGAGAGGCCTGAATAAATGGCTGGCTGAAACGTGGGTGGGAGGTAGGGGATTCGAACTGGGATTGGGATTGTCTATGCCTGAGTACGAGTATCTTGTAGATACTCTTACGCCACCGCAAAGTTCCTTCGCAGAACACGCTTTCACACCCTGGCTTAAAAGCCAAACAGGAAGCCAAAGAAACACGCAGAAAGTTGCCAACAGCACGCAAAGTCGACACTTTAATGTTAGAAGTTCATCAAACAAAAGGCAAAGTTGAGCCATTAAAATGTTTTAGAGTTTGATTTACGAAATCCAAAAATGTTCTGGAAATAGTAAAAAAAAGCAACACAACATCTTATATTAAAAATAAAACATGTTTTGGCGCAATAAAACATCAATTCTTCTTTAAATATCGCTCAATATACAGACAGTTTTAGCAGCTACCAAACCTACACTTCTTTTAGCAACCCGGCAACTCTTTTTACAGCCCTAAGGCAGCCCAGCATTGCCATTAATTATGCGAATTAAACTTGATGCGTGTCGCCGAAGAATTATGAGCCCAGCTTCAGCCTGAGGCTTCCAGACTCTCTCCCCGCCTCTGCTTCCTTAATTCGCTCTTTGCACATGCCAAGATGTGCCTCGTCCTCTTCCTCTTCCACCTCTTTCTTTTCTTTTCTTATTATTATTATTTTTTGTGTTATGCATTGGTCATTAAAATTAGGTCAGAGCCGAATGGAACACAAAAGCGAAATCCTTGAGAATTATAAAGCAGCGATGACAACAACAACAACAAACTAGTTCAGCTCTCTTTTGTCCTCCCTCTGTGTTCTCTTCCTCCTGTTGCTTTGCTCCTCTGCTGTGTTCTTCCTTCGATCCTTTTAGCTAGAACAACAAACAACCAATACATATACGATCTTATTACGCAATGGCTGCCGATCTGCCTACCTGACTGACTTAATTATTATATCAGAACCCCTTGTTGCCCCTCCTCAACCTCCTCTGGCAGGTCGAAAATGAAAGAAAAAACATGGAAACTGCGCAGTTTGAGTGGAATTGGACCTTGACTTTGCACCACAGTCCCTGAAATAATAGAACGCAGGACCCGATCCTAAGAGTCCTATAAGAAATGCTCATCTGGTTCTGAATTCCTCTTTTCCCCCCTCTTTTCGACCACTTTTCATTCCACACGTGCCCTTGTTTTGCCGTTTCTACCGCTTCTTCTTATTCGTTTTCGCATACTTTTTTATATTTCTTTTTTATTTGCAACACGCGCAGCGGGAATTTTTATATAAAAAAAGGAGTCAGAAAAGAGGGAAGGAGAAGAAGAAAGGGAGAGGACAATACATAAAAGCTGGCGAGGATACAAAAAAGAGGCTCTAGCTATAAAAGCTTATTTCGGTTTCACTATTGTCATTGATACCCTACTGTGAGCTAATTAGGAAATATACAGATGAAAATGAATTTTTAACATTATAGAGGAAGATCTTTTGTAATTTAAACATTTTCTTCAATTTATATTTTAGTGATCACCTAATTGAATTCAAAAAGTAATCTTTTAAATTTATTTTTAAGCATAAACAAATAAAATTCAAAGTATTTCGCAATCAAAGGGTACCTTGAAATTAAAATTTCCGAATATCAGCACTCTCTCTATCTTTTTGTCTCTGCTGTTGTTTGCTCGTTTTTTGAATGCCTCTTTTATTACGGCATTCGCATGCATTGTATTTATGTGAGGATGTGTGTGTGCCAGCATATAGGGGATTATATATATGTATGTACATACGAAAACATATAAAAATCGCAATCGTAGAGTGCGACAGAGAGGTAAAGTTCCGCCAAAGAGAGACGGCAGAAAGTATTTCCAATTCCACTTCCACTGGAATTAAGAGATTAGCCAAGGAAAGCAAAAGTGCGCTGCGAAAACCCGAGACTCGACAACCCTACTTTCATGTTGTTTACTTTGCCGGTTTTTTGCACAAACACCAATGCACACGTTCATACATGAATTGGCAGAACGAACTTGTTCGACGCTCGCATACGAATTGCAGTCGAACATGTTGGAGGGGAAACGACCGGCTTCGAGCAAGCTTCAAACTACCTTTGAGCCGCAACGAAAGTGAATTTTTGCGAATTATTTTGTAAGAGAAATGAGATTTAGAAATTAAATGGAAATCTAAAATTATGGAAAAACAATCAGCCCTCAAATGATATGTAATAAATATTTAAGAATATTTTCATTTACGTTTTTAAATGGTTTTCCAGCTTGGACGATTTTTTGGTTTTTCCTTTTCTTTCTATCAAAAAAGGCTTAAAAAGGAAACTCGTCAACCTAAAATCATAAATCCTTGACTAAATATTTTGCTATTTTTCATAAATATTCTTATAATTAAATAATTTAACTAATATATCAAAAATAGTTTTTTTTTAATTTAAAATGTATCTAAAAAAAATGGAAAAATTCTCAAATTTAAGTCCCATTTAACTTAATCTATTTTCTGGTTACCCCAAAACCTCCTCCCTAACACCCCACCTCCTTACCACCATTTTCGATCCCCCAATTTCCCACACCTTTTCCCATTTTAGCGCCAAAATCTGTTGAGTTTTCCGTCGAATGAAAAGCGAGCGGTTGGCGGCGGTGGTGGAAAGTGAAAACCAGCCAACCACCACCCACCAACCCCCGAATCGGAAAGCGAAAAGGAGAAGGAAGTGCGGAAAAGCGAAGTGGAGGGAAAACTCCAACTTCGCTGCCAATGCCAAGCAGCGCAGTCGCCACAAAGCAGCGCAGCCCTGAGCGACTCTGCCGCCGTCGACGGCGACGCGCGATGTTCGAACGAGGCAGCAAACATGCAGCGCAAACAGTTTGAATTTCGCTTTCGAACTGGTTGGTTGTGTTTTTTGGCTTCTCTCTGTGTGCGCCGTTCGTAGGTGGAAAAGAAAAAAAACGGAAGACCCCAGAAATACTGAAAAACTAAAAAACTTAGAAAACTCCAAATTATTTATCCTGCGACCAAAGCCAATCGGAAATTCTACAGCCAGTTCTCGCGCTTTCCTCCTTTTTTCCTGCTTTTTCCGTTTGCCGGCAAAAACAAAAGGCGGCAACGAAGAGAGGCAACAAAAACAAACGCAAAAAGCGAAGCAAAATGTGAAAAATTGCCGAACATGGCGCCGCGTGTGTGACAGAGATCGAACGAACGTGCGAGAAGGACGGTGAAGAGACAGAGCGAAGATAAACAATAGAAACAATTTTTGATACTTAACGTTCTACAACAACAACAAACTCAGCTCAGGTACAACAACAACAAAAAAAGTTAAGAAAAAACCTAAAAAACAGACTGCATTAACGGGAACTTTTCGAAATATTTTTGATACACACAGCGAGAGGTGTACGATTTTTAAAAGCAATACAAAAAAGCAATAAAAACAAGGTAAAAAATACCAAATTGATAAAAAAAAACACTCGGAAAATCCAGCAACTTAAAACAATCTAAAAAGTAGACGAAAAACTAAAATTTCCCCGACTAAATCACACAAAATCAAGCATTTACTATATACAAAGTAAAGTTAAAAAAAAAAATAAAATCTTAAAAACCGGTAAACTGACTTATTAACCCAAAAATCCTCGAAAAAACAGACTTTTGTCTGCGAACCCAAAATTTTCTATAAAAAATTTACAAGTCCGAAAAAAAAAAACAGGCAGAAAATCGCGTAAAATTCTGAAATCGTTTCGAAAGTAAAAAACTGGAAACACAGCGCCGGCATTTATAGACCACAAATCACAGCATAAATTTCCGAAAAAGAAAATTCTAACGAACAAGCAATATTTTCCAATATAAATTGCGGGCAAAATGCTGATCCGAAATAGAGATTGAGAATTTTAGTCGAAGATAGATAGCCGCTTACCGAACCGCTGAAAAGAGTGCTTACTTAGAGCTAACAAAAAAAGGAAAGAAACACAAATTTATGGCTCCGCGTCGCAACAGTAACATCAGCAGCAGCGGCAACAGCACCCAGCAGCAGCAGCACCAACAGCAGCAGCAGCAACACCACCAGCAACAGTTGCAGCAGCAGCAGCAGCAACACCAGACGCAGCAACAGCAACTGCTGCAGTTTTACGCGGAGAACGCGAATCCTCCAGGCGTCCTCATGGGTCCCCTGCAGGTATCGGGAGGCGTAACCCGCTGCTGCCTGCCCAGCGGAGATTGCCGCAAACTGGACGCCCTGATCCCGCTGACCGAACTCTCCCTGGCGGACTGCATCCGAGTGCTGTGCAACAATGAGAACTGCAGTGCCGGGCAGTACATGCACCGCGAGTGCTTCGAACTGTGGGAGGCGGGAGTCCTCCAGGCTCTGAAGGCCAATGGCAGAGCCCGATCCTGGTCGGAGCGGCAGCGCCTACAGCATCTGTGGACCAAGAAGGGCTACGAGCTGGTCCACAAGGCCTGCAGTTGCAAGTGCGGCAGGGGGCAGCTAAGAAAGGACCTCGAGTGGGTGGCTCCAAGCAGCCAGGGTGTTATATACCTCAATGGATCTGGCAATCGGGCCGCTCTCAACGGCAATCTCAGCGAGGACGACGACAAGAAGAAGGCCAAGAAGAAGAGGAACCGCAACAGCAACAACAACAACAACGGCGCCAGCAACGGCAGCTCTAAGACTCCCCTGAGCACCAGCAATGGTAACAGTGGCTATAATGGACTCACTCCCAATCCCAATGTGGGTGTCATTGGCTCCGGGCTGCCCCACAACAATGGTGGCACCAACAATAACAGTGGCACTAGCTCCTCCGACTTGCTGCAACCCAGTGTGGTGGCCACTTTGAGCAACATCCTCAATCCGAACAATGTTCTTGGCTTGGACCTCAGGGCCAGAGCTGGCAGCCTGTCCTCCAGTGGAGCTGGCAGTGGCTCCACCTCGCCATCGGCCTCGCAATCCAGCGGGGAGATATCCGTGTCGCCGGTGCAACAGTTGCTGCAACAGAAGCAGCAGCAGCAACAGTCTCTGCTGATGCAACCTTTGGGTCCCGCCTTCGGCAACAATCTTCTCCAGAACGGCTTGGGCTTGTCCAAGAACCTCCTGATTGCTCCCCAGCAGCAGCAGCAGCAGCAGCAACAGGCCAACTTGCCTGCTTTGGCCAACATCAGCAACTTCAAGCCATTGGCCAGCTACGAGCAGCAGCAACTCGTGCAGCAGCAGAAGAACAAGGAGGTCGAACTTTACTCCGAGAGAGTGCGGTAAGTCGGAATAATATTTATATTTAGTTTAAAGCATAAACTTGGTTAGAAAGTGGGAAAATCTAATGTTCTTTTTTAATACTTTAAAGTCAGTTAACTTGTTTAACGAAACAAAAGACGAGGAAGGTTGAAATGTATGGCGAAATTCCCCAACATGTGGCTGGGGCACATCAGCAATTTCAATATTTATTCACAAAACTTTTATCAATTACACTGAACGACAAGTTAGAATAAGTTCGGCAGCTGTTATTTCGCTCATAAAATGTAAAATTCTTTTCAACTTGCTGCCACAACTTCTTTGCTCTCTCTTTTATCAAGAAATTCCGATTCGATATCAGATTGATTCATATTTTCTTGGTTCCTTTATCGTGTTGCACAGTGTTATCAACAATTGAGGCGTTTGTTTGTCCGTTTTTCGTTCATTTGCCGGTTCCATGCCCATGCTTAGCTTATATAACCTTGATTCCGAACAGCTGCAAAACAGAGACAATATTTGCAGAAATATTAAAGAAATTGCGATTGTTTATCTGGGAAATTTGCGAATGTTTTCCACTTAGGGAAGTCGCTGAAGGAGATGGAAATAAGCGTAGAATTCCCTTTGAATTCTCTTCAGTTTCACTTTTCATTTATCTTTCAGTTCCCTGCTTTCGGTCAAGGCTTCGCTTCTCTTTCTTCTGTTCTACCCATCTCTTTCGCTCGGCATTCTTATTAATCATAAATCATAAGACATGGAAAATTATTGAAATTTATTTGCTGCCATATAGCAACAGACATTTATCGTATGGTGTGTTTTCCACATGTTCCCTTGCTTTTATTTATTTTTTGCCCAAATTTTAATATTTCCGTTTGGAAGAAGCAGAAGAAAAAATATTATTTATTTCAATGCGATCGGGAGAAAAAAAAAACAAAACGAAAGAACCAAAAGAAACAGAAAAAGAATTAGAACGCTTTTTGTTGTTTTGAACGCGATCTTCAGGTTTTTAGAATCCCAACCCCTCACCCTCTGCCTATCTCTTTCCCTCTCCAGAGTGTCCTCTCTTTCTAGCTGAGAACTTTGTTTTGCCTTCTATGGCATAATTCCATTCATTCTTCTGTGTTTTTCGCTCTCTATCTTTCTCTCCGTTTTCTGTTTTTGCCCACTTTTCAAGGCCACGATATTCGCTTTATTTTTCGTGTGTTTTTATACCCTTCTGAAGGGTATGACTAGGTTTTGTAGGTCATTGTAATAAGAATTTATTTAAAACTGTTTAAAATGAACAAAACTAAAAAATATGTTTTTAGATAGTTTTGTTATTTATTAAGCAACTTTACCTCAAAGCAGCATATATATAAAGAACCTATAAGCTCTACCACATTAAGGAAGGGTATCAAAGCCTCGCAGTCAACGTTGCTATTCCCGTTTTTGATAATTTTTGAGTTCTATTTCGCTCTCTTGTTCCTTCTTCGCCTGCAATTTCTTGCATTCTCTTCCATTCCTGCTTATCAGCTTTTATTTTTTTGATGATTTGCGTTTAATTCAAAAATAAACGTCCATAAAATTGTTTATCGCCTTTCGTTTTTTTATTTTTTATTCTCGTTTTTCATTTCTTGTTTTGTTTGCATTTACTGGCGTTTATTTTTAGCGCCACACGCGGCCCATTTTTATTTTATTTAATTTTTGCCCAGTACTTTTGATTGTTATTGTTATTCCTTTTGCTGTTGTTGTTGCTGCTGCTGCCACGATAAACAAACTTTTGCTGATTCAAAAGGTGAGCAGAACGAAAAGAAGAAGAAAGCCGATAAAAGTTCTTGCCTTTCCCTTTAAATTTGCCGTCTCTGTTTAATGAATGAATGTGCCTGGCTCTACCTCTCTCCCTCCCTCCCACTCTCTCTCTCTTACGCTCTTTTAACTTGTTTTGTCTGCCGGCATATTTGTGTTTTGCTCTTTTTTTCTGTACTTTTTGTATTTGGCGTCCAATGTCAAGGTTAAGACACATTTTATGTATTCATTTTCGGTGGGTGGATGAGGCGGAAGTCGGTTTGTTTTCGTGCCTTTTCCAGTTTCCCGACTTTTTTGCAGAAAGCTCTTCCTGTTCGCCTCTCTTTCTCGCTCTCTCGCTGTCGCTGCAAATAATTTCCAATTTCCAATCCGTAGGCGCAGCATTCTCCCCCTCATTATTTAGATTTTCCTCGCATCTCCCATCTCCAGAAAAATGGCGCAACACTTTTCCCGAACGTTCGAAAATACAGCGGGCACAACTGCAAATAAGTTGCGAAAGGCACGCCGAGAATAGAAAAACTACAACAATTTGCCACCACAAACCATAAAAACAAAGTAACAACAAAGTCGGCGTCTTGCATTTGCATACCAAGCGCAACGGGGGTCTAAAGGGTGTGACTAGCCGGCGGTTTTAGCTTTAGGTGGGTAAACAAGGGGTATATTAGTATTGTTAAATAATAGTTTATGAGACTTAAGGGGTTCTTATGGTTGGCATATTCAAGTTAAAGTTCTTTGAGAGACATAATGTCATGTCTATGATATGATACGATGCTTTCTTGAAGAGAGTTATCAAAATATCCATATTTTACCGAAAGGTTCTTGTTCATTGAGCTATAATACATAGTTCTGCCAAGTTTCATATCACTAGCACTATCTAAACACAAAATATAGGTATTCCCTAGTCGGATACTTTGATTTCAAATCACTAGACAATATGCCAGACCCCCCTCCATAGCCAAAGTGCGCTGATATGGTGTGAAAAACAAAACTAAAACGAAAATTAACAACTTTCGCACGACTTTTGTTGTTATGACTAAAGAGCGCGAGCGCGAGAACGAGATGGCTGGCTACCGGAAGAATTCGAGAGGGAGAAAGAGCTAGAGATATCCATATCGGTGCATAGTTTATCTCCACTGGGCCCGGGGGGTTCTATACTCTATACCAGTAAATATGAGTGAATTATAGTCGTGTGAGGCATAGCGTAAATTTCATTTAAATTCTGTTTTTGTTTTTCTCGCAAGTATTTCTTCCCAATCGCCTCCCCTCAGCACTCGTAACCCCCCTGCAGCTTTGTGCTAATTGAGCACGTTCCAAAAACTGTCGTCTAGACTTAAAGCATAAATTCTGCACTGTAAAATTTTTATTAACGCGGAACCCCCATTACACATCCATATCGATGACGATTGTGTTGTTTGTTTTTCCGTCGATGTGGGCTTAGCTTAGGTTCTGTCTGATATTTAACCATATATTCTATATGCTCTCTGTTAGGTTAGGTTTCACTTTTCGCTGGGCGTTGATAAACAAACAAAAGACGAGGCAGCCGAGCATGAAATGAAATGGTCCGACTTGGATCTCGATGGGTACGTAGGGTTACGCCATGCACGGAGAGAAATAATGGGTTTTGGGGGATTATATATATAGTTATGTACTTATTATTCTTAAGTCATAACTAATAGTTACATTTTCTTAATGTGTAGTTAATGTGTTTACATATTGGTGCCATAAAAGGTCTTCTAAAGGGAAGGGGAGAGAACTTAGCAATTAACGACCTTTTTTTGGGGGCAGTCAAATTGAGGAAACATTAAAAACAGCGCCACATCAGACACTTTTTGTTCCATAGAAGCTTTGTTGCGGACACGCTCAGTAGTTCCATCGCAACGGGTGACCACTGTGGCAGACTCCCCCACACAAAATGTGTAACCGCAACCAAATCTGCAAAACCATTTGCAAATTAAAGCGCATAACGATGTGTGGGCAGAAAGATAAATGTATAGGAGAAATGGGAAGGGGGTGAAGGAGGAAGAGGAGGAAACTACTCACCTTTTGTTGAATATCAAATCAAGTATGCATTGCTTACTCGCTTTCCACTCCCTTCTCCGCCCTCACAACCGCAAAGGCTATTAATGAAATCTTTGCCAAAACGACACGCACACTGAAACTTGAATAAGCATATGCACATCGGGGTAACCTGTACAGTGGTCCCCAGAAATGTTGACTTTAGACTCTGAAGCTATAGTATGGCCTTAGAGAAGGGAAAGCTTTACCCCAAATCTTGAATTTCTATCCAAAATTGAACAAATAAATATTAAAATGTATTTAAACTTCCAAGCTCCTAGAAATTTGCACTTTTTACCACTGTATCTGGTGCATTGCAGCAGTCGTCCGCACACCCACACATTCCATGGGGGCACCTATCGAACGGCGCATGACTCTCCGGCGGAAAGTTCCCTCGACGTCATTATTGTCGTATTTTCATTGCCAACAGACAATGCCAGGGCAACTCCATCTCCGCCTCTTCCTTTTGCCTTTCCCCGTGTTTTCCTCCTGGAACCGCCTCCTGTATTTGCCACCCACATCCGTATCCATCCACACATCTATATGTACACACATGAGTGTGTGTGGCTCCATCCGCAGGCTTTTTGCCAACTTTAAAGGCTTCGTTGGCTCAGCAGTTTCCGTTTCTCTCCATCTCACTCTCTTATGCAGAACTTAAATCTACACAGGGAGAGATTGGTGGAGATTTTAAAATGGAGAAAATGTAAAATAATTATTTTAAATGTTAAAAAACCTGCAGTTTTTTCATATTATTGCTTAAATATTACAAACTTTATGGTCAAAATTAGTTTTTAGATCGATATCTTGTCAAGAAATGGATTCTTCTAGTATCCCAGTTCCCTTTTTCCCAGTGCACTGCCTTCCTTTTCCCACTGCTTGCTGCACTGCTTCCCCGTTTTTGCCAGCATGATGTCGTCTGTTGGTTCATAAGCCAAGCTTTGCCTGTGTGTGAGTGTGTTTATCTGTCTGCCTGCCGTCTATCTGTGTGTGTGTGTGTGTGTGTGCTTTTAGGCTTTTGTGTTGGGCCATTCAGCCAAATGAGAAAGAGAACCCCAACTCCTTCTCTTCCTTGTCGCCTCTCCTCTTCCACTGCAGGCTGAAATTGCAATCAATATTGTTGTTGTTGTCGAGCAGCTGCCAGACACAAAAATAAAACGCAACGTGCAAAAAAAGATTGCAAAAAAGA